TACTTGTGTCATAGTGACAAAGATAAATTGTGCACATGTGCAAATGTGCACATTTGTAAACATATGAGACCTATGTCTTGCTTTATATAACCGCTCGTTTTGACCCCCTCCTGTAAATATTGGTAAAAATGTCATTTACGTGCCATGCGCAGTCTGGACATCACCAGCCTAAATCTGGTAGATAGGTTGTAGATACCTTTACCTATCCATGAGTAAAACAAACATTGCCATACATGTAGATTACATTTAAAGTCGACACATAAAGTCATGTCTGGTTACAGGAGTTTAATTTTCCATCACCAGTCACATCATGATTTGTATGCATGTCCATATATTAACTTATTAATATTATTCCTTTGCGAAATTATTTATATAGGCTGCTTCGACAATACATGACTTACCAATAAATGTACGCACCATGAATGCATAATGTTTACATCACTTCTCCTTTCGCACACCATCGAGACTCTAATGTGGTGGAGACCTGAGGAGAGTACTTACGTTATCATGGTTCGAATCCCATTTATCTTTGTGTCATTATTCATCCACTCAAGTTTTGAATGAAACATTGTATTACCCTCATAATCTCATATTCATGTATGTTTGCAGAGTGACTGTCTATGACAAGAAAGCAATCCAGAAAGGGAGCTTCATCCATCTAGTTGTTGAGACATTTGACGAAAATGACCGTAAGAGAAACAAAGGTGGTGATTATTTTTCATCCGTTATGTCAAATATTAATATGCAGAAGAGCACAGCGGGTCGTACAGTCGACTATGGAAATGGGACATACTCTGTATATTTATATGCAGCATGGACCGGAAAGGCTGATATCACTATTGCACTAACTCATACCAGAGAAGCTATCAATTATCTAAAAGATGTTCAACTGGTCCATGATCTCTTGCATACAAAGATGATTTACAAAGATACTGCTAAAAATGCTAAAAATGAAACGATCGAGTGTTTTCTTAACACCGAAGGAGTGTGGACAAACAAATGTGAATACAGCAATGCCAACTCCATGGGGGACACTAAAATCATCTGCGATAAACCAAAAAGTCACAAATGTGATCAAGTATATAATATGCACGCATCAGGTAAACGCCTAGATGACATTATCAGAGGTGCATCTGAAGGTTATCAATACCTATTCAGCAGGTACAGTACCCTATAATATGGGATGTTATTATGTGCGGCACTGTGTTATTTTGTACAGTTTAATTGTAGAACGATACATATACTGAAATACAGTAATAATACATTACATTTTGCAGGAAATACACTAACGGAATTATTCACGGCATGCCATTATCAATAAATATATTAGGTTAGTACATGGTTTAGATTTATGTGTTCATACTCTAATTCAAATATTTATCATTGATTAAATATTAAAATCATTATAAATATTTTTGAATCTGCTCTTTTTTCTTCAAATAATTGTGGCCATAGTATAGTTATGTTCAATTTTCTTGTGCTGTATATCTATTCTGAATCCATCGTCCAGTCCTTTTAAATGAAACAAGACGCCTGTGTCATCACTAAAGGAAACTATTTCAACTTGATACAAGCCTGAGTAGAATATAGGCAGGGATGTATAATAAGAATACACATTGTTTCCGCAAACAATATTAGATTGATGCTAGGATCACCGAGTTTATACTAGTAATATATATTCACCCTGTGAAAGTATACAAGTTGTATTGGTATTTCTGTGAGCATATATGTCCACATGGATCGCATGATGTATCGCATCTATTTGAATTTCATGCTTGACAGTTCTGCTATTGTTAATTTTTCAGATGCTAAACCGCCACAATTAGACATACCTCTGTGTGGTCCTGATCTACCCGTTCCTTTATCAGATGGTTACTGGGATGATAACATTACATTTGTTCCCCTGGTGTGTCGTAGCAAGCAGTGGTCAGTACAAGAAGTTGACGAGTGTCTGTCGGATACAGAGTTTGTAGTGAGCGGAGATTCTACAGTTTGGCAATTTGGCACTATAATGAACCAACGTTTTCATAAGAAGTTTGTTAATAATATGGTTGTGCCACGTTTTGGTGGTCCAACTACTTATTTCTGGAATCTGGTACTTGAAAGTGACTTGTTAGACAATATAACAATCGATAAATGTCGCGCGAAGACTCCAGTAGTTGTCCTCAACTTCTGTTTTCACTATGGAGTGTGGTCTACTCGGTCTTATTTACAACGAATCTACCGCGCCAAGTTAGCAATTGATAGATTGATGAAAAGATGTCCCAAATCCAAAGTAGTGATTAAACTAGCACATGCCCGGGACAACGTTTACTTGGAGCAATCAATCCACAGCAGTAATTGGATTTTTTATAACATGAACAGAATGGTTCGTCGTGTATTCTGGGGAAGTGGTGTGATCTTTCTCGATGTATGGGATATGGCACTTTCTGCCCCTTACACAAATACAGTTCATATGGCTAGTCAAGTATTATTCCAAGAATTATATTTGATGTTTTCCTATATTTGCCCCCACTTAGTTAATTAGTAATGTGAGGCACCGATATAATGTACATTAAAATCTCATAGCCAAGCGTAGTTCACATTACAAACATAATATGTAGCCATTTTGATATTCTGTTTTCTTGCTGTTTAATTGGCATTTGACAGTAACAAAAACGTTTTGGCACAAGCATGCAATGGAGCTATGTGTATATATGAAATAGAGTTAGGATCGGGATATTTGGGTTTAGCTGATCTGTTTGGACGGAAATCATAGTATTCTTCGAACCTAACTTATAGTAAAAATGTTAGAAACCTTAATGTCTTAACAATTAAGGACTTATCAAAGGCAATTCACTGAAAACTTTCACGTGACATATCAAAAGTACTAAATTATTGCAACTTTATAGAACTATGTTTGATATCGTGGTCATATTTCATCATTATGTTATAATAGCGGCTTCACGCTCACACATTCGGTTCATACGCCGTTGCACAATTGTTCAGAATCAACAGCTTGCATATTTAGGTGGAGATTATAAATGTATATTTCAGGAATTAGATAAACAGATTGTTTACTTATTGTATTTAATTGGTAACTTTGCAAAGCTTTAACCGCGAAACACATCCCTGGTAAGGGGGGGGGGGACGATTGAAGACAGATTTACAGATGACACGCCGTTGATAAGATGAAGACTCTAGAAAACTCCAAGAAGTGTGAATATCGAATAGGACTGGATGATTAATGTGAAATGAACAACATTAGAAACAATGTACCAGAAAAAATGTATCAAGTATATCCATGAGAAATACGAGAAAAACTGACGCTTTGTTAAGACCGAACTACGCCACCCAGCAACCATGAGTAGAACAATAATATTAGCATATTATGCTGGAAAAACGGTCGCGTAAAGTAACAAACACCGTGTATAACAGAGGTAAAACAGTATAACGAATGCTCTCGAGATGGAAACACATGAAGAAATAAACGACGATGAACCATTTGTTTTTCATGTGACCGCGCAGAATCTACGTTTTGAACAGATGTTTATAACTTTGTGAGGTCCTCTCTTTAGACGAAGTATTTGCAACAAACAGGTGCTGTAACTATCGATCTTTGTTTCTCCATTGTTATTATTTAATACAAATCTCCTTTGATTATTATTAGTTTGTGAAGGCCATCGCCGAAATGGGGACACTGAACGCATAGCATATACTATACCTTATACACCGACGTTGTAAATTACATGCAAGTGAAAAAAGATGGCCGCTCGGTTGCGTCAAGGTCTCCAGAGGGCGCCAACAAGTTACGTTAAAGGAAAGTCAAGGAATCACAGTACAATATAACTAACCTTGGCTCTTTGCAAAATCAGGTCAAATTCGTCGCCATCTTGAGAGACTAGATTTCTCTATTATGGCCTCTCACTGGTGATTTTATTTTTTAATTCCCATTATAGTAGTGTGCGTCGGCGTGCGTCATATTAAACGGTTCAAAAAACATTTTCCAAATCAAAGCTATCCCCATGTTATTAACAATGTCATGGGAACGAGAGTATATTGTAAAGTTCTTAAATGCAGTAAATGGTGTAGACGACAGCGGCAACACACATAACAAGGGTGAATTCGACTTTTCATTTCCGACTTCTTAATGGATTTCCAAATGGAAATGAAAATTCATTTTGCCTTATCTGTCCGTTTCATATTCACAGAATTACTTCCTGCATGTAGATGACTGCGTCTACTCCAATTTGTAGGTTGCCCCTCAAAGGTATCAGTAATATCAATACAATTTGGCATTTTCAAACACCATCATTGTATTTAGCAAATGCACAAACTCAAGCATGTGTTATATATGCGTATCTCCATACGAACTCTAGAGACATTGACATTAAATCACTCGCTTAATAAACTATGAATATTATAATAAATATATGTAGCATATTTATTCGAATATTTTTAACATTAAATAATAAAACATGAATAAAATTATATTAAAACAAAACTTAGCGTATCCAATACAATATATGAAAGACACATACAAATACGAAATATTCATCAGAAAAAAAAGAAAATTTTCTCGTGCCTAGTGAAAATATTATATATATATATTGTGAGTGCAATTGACGCTAACAACATTCAATTTATAAAATACAAAAACACACTTACATTAACGATTTGTATGTTACTGAATTCATATCAAACGCCTGTAGCACAAACATCAAAGACGTCAACAATAAATCCAAGTCTATAAAAAATTATCGTAATTATCGATGCAATGCATGAAAGAGTAGAACTATTGTACAGCTATTTATTGGTCAATGAGTTAACGTCAATATTTATTATTGTAAGTCTAATAACATACAACAGTATGTTGAAACAATTAAACAACAGAGTCTAACACAATACACAAATAATATATACGATCCAAAATAGATGTAATATCTTGTAAAAACCGGTTATTATTAATAATAATAACATTATTTATAAACATATCACAACTAACTCACTATAAGGACTGTTCAGGTGACTGTATTGGCAAATCTCGATTCATGGGATGAGTCGGCAATCTTATTAATAGGACAATTGAACGCTTTCATAATAGCAATTCTAAACTGGCGATATTGGAATGCATATATTACGGGATTTACACACATATTTAGAAATGCCAATAGCACGGCGATGTCATGGAAACGGGAGTATAGTGGAACGGTCTCCGTGACATTGAAAAGAAAAAACCAAAATGACTGGGGTGTCCAGCAAATTACGTACACGACAGAGACAATGAACATTGTTTTAGTGACATTCCTGCGTGAACGATCGAAAGAGGAATCTTGCTTCTGTTTTGCCTTATCTTTCCTGGTCACATTTACAGAATTACCCCCTGTAGTAAGAGAAACACGTAAATTTGCCTCACTGCAATTTTGTGCCTCTGGGAGGCATTTATTGTCTCTTTTGACAGAACAAGATACCTCATTATCCCGTGTCTCTTGATTGTGCGACCTGCTCAATAGTTGAAATATTATACGGGTGTACACGACTATGATAACACCCAGAGGTATTGGTAACTCCAAAAGAAAGAAAATAACACCCGAAAACTTAGCTACGAATTTACTGTACCACTCAATTCGGCAGTTTCCAAAGCCGTCATTATAGTTTGCAAATGCCCAAAACAATTCCAGTAAGGCCGGAACTACCCATATGAACGGAATAACAATTTGGACCTTTCGTTTGGTTATGTTGTTTCTATGTTTGATGGGATGAACCACTGCCAAATAGCGTTCTAGTGTAAGTACGATTAGATTCAAAGAAGACGCCATTAACAACGACCAGGTAGTATATCCAGACTTCCACAGTTTGCAATATAACTCACCCAATACCCCGACAGGCACAACAATACGCGGACCAGTTTTTCTAATCAGAAAGACAACTGAAGTAAACAGGTCAAGTACTGATTGGTTTAGAATAAACATGTTAGTGAGTGTACGTAATTGGGACTTTACCCTCAGAAATACAAAACATACAATAAAATTACCAACAATTCCCAGAATTCCCATTGTGATATTCATAATCAGCGTTTGGTCTTCAGTGAGAAATCTGTCAGATGACAAAATCCAGGATCCTACATTCACTGTTTCCGTTGTATTGATGCTTGCCATGTTGATGGAAATTCAGGTCAATAGAGTAGATGCCTATATCGACTGCCCCAGTTATACAGAGTAGAATAAACGAATCGGTGACTGTCAATATTTGAGATACTTATTTACGTAAGTCACTTCTTGAGAAAGTACTTGATAAAACTATCAATAATGATGTTTTTGTGTTCACTGTATGTTAAATTTCGATGTTTAACGATTTTACATGGATTTAATCCTTATAAGCAGATCGACTTGCATCTGTAACATAATAACGTTGTTGTTCACTCAACTTCACAATTAATAGGCTAATAGTTGAACCAATAACGGTGTTTCAATGTCTGTTGATGTCTTGTTACGCCGCGGAGAATGCACTGGAAGGAAACAATACAACAAATTCAATATATGTATTTGTAATTGCTTTATAATTTACCCGGATTGAGCATTTGTAGCAGAATGTGTTTATTATCTAACGAGACATAAATTCTAATAATGGTATAAGATAATGCGAATGACTTCAAATCCATCTAATTGAATTTCAAATATTTGTTATCTAGCGGGCATCATTCTTGATAAACAGTAAAGAAACAGTTCTAAATATATAATATCCTGCGTTTTATTCTTGTATGAGAACTGTATTGTTTAAAAGTGCTAAACTTAATAAACCTCATCTCAGTAAACCTTTCTAAAGTCCGTTTTTGAAGATGCATTTGTGATAGTAAATGGTCACTATGGCTTTCAATTCTGCTTTAATTTGTTGCTAATTTTTGGTTGATTTCATCCGTGGTGCGAAAGAAAAAAACAATATTCTTTTGGCACAGTGATTAGTAGTATATGTTAGAAATAGTATGTGATAGCATTTCCAAAGTTGAGAATTGTTTGAAATATTTAGGGTCGATATATTGCTTAGTGATGAGATGTATAATGATTATAACATAGCAACCCTGTGAGCTTCACTTTCCGCTACGGGAATATTAGTCGGTTTTGTAAATCGCATGAACTCGGAAACTATATTCCACACATAGTCGAAAAAAAAGAAGCACGAAACAGAAGCGTGAAAACCGCAAATTTTGGAAAAGCCTGTATACCTGAAAATGTTAACAAAATAAATCAGCCGTGGGTTTTCTCTACTAACTAACAGAAATAACGTAACGGCAACGAACATTATCTATATATTTCCGTTTTCAATTTTAACTATTAGCTTGAAGACTAACGCAAGTATGTACAAGTCTCCATGTCACATCTTATTCATCCACGTTCTTTATGATAAATGTTGAACCAGCGTCGCATTCTGCACACTTTGTGTATTCAATGTACATTCTAAAATAGGTTTTTGGTCACCACCTTATCCTATCCATCTCGTGCATTTATGGACATTTTAATTTATACACAGTTGGTCAGCATTGCATCTTACTCGCTTGGCGTGTTCAATGCAGATCTTAAATGATACGTATTTAGTCAGCTAGTCAGCGTTACATTTTACTTACCTTGTGTGTCCAATGCGCAGGAATAATAGCGTGTTAAGAAGAACAACAGCAGACTAACCACGCACCTTCAATGTAGTGCCCCAGTTCTGAGTATCTATTGAGATACGACTGACGGTCTGTACCCCCTGTTAACTGTTTCATATGTACTGTTGATAAAAAATATAGATTTTTTACAAAGCTCCACATCCAATCGGCATGTTTTGTCATATATTAGTCAGTTTTACATTGATTATAAAATATTTAGTCTGAATCTAGCCATATGATTGGCTGACGCAAAGTCCTATATCTAGCTCAAGAAGACATATGATCTAATCCTGCTTCAAAACTGAATTAACTGTTTGGGATATCTAACTCAATTAAGATTACACGACTGTGACCGTTGTTGATAAATATTGCAGGTGTATGATCAACTGCTCAAAACCGGAAAACAAGTACTAATGCAAATTATTATTACCCAAAATGTTAATATAATGCACATATTTCAAGAAACCTCCCCGCAAGGAACGTGCTCCTTCATTTATGCAGTATAGCGTTTGAATCAAACACATGACGTAATCGACGCACCCGTCGTTACAACACGCCGGTTGAACGGTTGAACATGCTCATTATACTTGTTCTCCTGGGAGATTTCAATTTCAAGTTCTCCCCATAACAACATTGTTTCGACCCTTCAGATGACCTCAATACACACATGAAATAAGTTATAGATGAATAGAATACGACACTGGATAAATACATATCTCTTTAAGTACGTCAATTGAGCACACGGGTAGTAGGATTTGAGGCTGACTAAATATGTTAATGTAAAATACCAATTGAACATACGAATTGAGTAGGACACGACCCCGGATAAATACATATCGTTGAAAATGTTTGTTGGACACACAAGGTGAGTGAGATTTGATGCTGGATAAATATATATCATATTTTGTAAACTGCTATTGCAAAATCAGACTTCCTCCTCATGGCAAGTCAGCCAAGTAATGACTTTGAGCCCACAACATCAACCACAGCAGGCAGGTCAAGGTCATACTATAATTTATTAATGTGCTGTGACTGAGGTGTTGATATGAATATTGAGAAAATCTAGTTGTAATTTCTGAGTGTTAGAACTTGTTATTGTTGTCTTTCAGACTGAGTGTCATTCACTGCACTGTAACAATGAAAACATTACTGTTTTCTGATCAATTGGATTATACTTCCTTACAACATTTACTGTACTTGAGTGAGTACAACGTTATTGAATAACACATGCATTTCATTAGCTTTCAAGAACCAAAACCTTGAACTTCAGTATATATCTTTATTGTGACGTAATCTCAAACACGAATATCGAAAGTTACCGATTCATCTAGTTTACTCTGTCTGGCTGGAGTAGTCGATATACGTATATGGGTCTAAGGCTATTGGATTGAATATCCGAAAAACGTCACCCATCATCGTTGCAAGCATCAATACAGATAGACCTCTCCCGGAAGACTGAACGCTAATTATGAATATCACTATGGGTAATTGTGGATACTTTCATGGTATGTCATGTATATCTGAAGGATAATTTCTAAATACGTACAGGTTTAGTCTAAATCAATCAGAAGTTGACATATTTACTTTAGTTGTGTTTCTGATTAGGAAAACTAGTCCGCGTAATGTTGTGCCTGTATTAAGTGAGTTGTGTTGTAAATTGGGAAAATCCGGATATACTGTCTTGTCCTTGTTAGCATATTCTTTTAAATCTAATTGTAATCACGCTAGAACGCTATTTGTCAGTGTTTCATAAAGTATATAAACAACATAGAAGCCAAACGTGATGTCTAAATTGTAAATCTGTTTATATTGGTAGTGCCGTATTTACCGAAGTTGTTTCGGGTATTTCCAAACTACAATGATGGGTCAGAAGAATGGTATAGTAAATTAATAAAAGTTGACGGGTTTTAATTTAATTTTTGTTGGCGTTTTCATAGTTTTGTACACCTGCACCCGCACAGTCCACATGGGATAACGCGATGTCATGTTGTGTTGAAAGAGACGTTTCTAGCTGCCATGTCAAATTCTTTGGAATATTATAATGGATCTTGGTTGACAACACTACATTTTCTGCCAAGTATTCCCTACTCTGACCGAATTCCGACCGGAATTACGGATTCCGATCAGAATTCCTCAGGTTGCAAAAATAACGGGCATGCACGTGCGACAATCTCAAGCCTTCTAACCAGTTAAACTCATATTATAAATATAAGAAAACGTCAGCACACAATACATTTTAGGTTGGACAATTATTTGGATGATTACTAATTTGTAGACCTGTCAATCAGTTGCCGTTCCATGTTTATTTCAGAAAAAAATCGTCTATTTGCTTTTATACACTCCGCATTCTATTGTGTATTTTCAAATAACGTCTTTGCGCACTGTATTAGTTGATTGACTTGTTAGATTCAACTATCATTGGATCTTATAAATATTTATAGGATGATGGAATGACTTTAAATAAATATTCTATCATTGTTAATACAGATAAATATGCAGATTGAGTCCGTTTTGGGGGACAATGTCATTGTTAAACTATAGCCTACATAAGTTTATGATCGTACATGACGTATCCCAACAGGATATTTGGCGGTTCTCTGTTATTCCAGGTTTCAACATATTCAAAGTAATATATTTGTCCATACATGAAAGAGGCAATATGTATAACTAAGCATTTGGTTGAGCATTTTTTAAATAAATAAAATCATCATAATTAAGTTACAATTTTGGTTTGGAAATAGTACAAAGCATTTTAATAACTTTATGCATAGTGCTTTGATGTACTGTATTTAGTTAGTTATATATATATATACAGTGCCGTTTTCGTGTGATATAATATTGTTGTTTGGAGTCTCTTCAGAATTGAGATCATATTCACAACTTGTGTGCATAACCTTCCGGATAAAAATCATTTAGTAGATATTGAATACAATTGATTTCACCGTTTGGGCATAAATGCACTATAACGATTCATATTTCTAAATCAAATTACATAATCACGACACATCTTCCCCTCCGCAACGAGGCATGAATATGCCCCACTCCCAAAAGATGAGATCAACTATGAGTTTCCAATTACAATTATTTCTTTGTATGTATTCACTGTTTATAATCCTGAACCATTATTGTCGAGTTTACCATCATGTACAGTCAGATCTGATAACCTTTGCCCCAATGTCTGGCTATGTTGTGTTGCGTGAATCGTTCTCTGCACAAAATAAACTCTGTTAACTTTTATTTGGCTTACATAAATTAAAACATAGTATTGTGTATTCAACCACGGTAATGTATTCATCGTACTGATAGACTGTTATAATATACCAGTATAACCAGTATTAACAAGATATATGGCTCGCGAAAAAATGCCTCTTTCTAACAAACCTTGTGTTTATATTTGATATTTTTTATTATACACGCTCAGTTAAATGTATAGAAATGAGTCAATAGTTTTGAACTGCGGCCCCGATATTCAGAAACACAATATAGGCTTCCCATAAAAGGTTATAAATATTT